TGATTGCAATTAAAAAACAGCATCTTTTAGTGATAAAAACTGGGATTAAGCCGTACTGAGTCAGGATCAACTTGTCCCCTCCTTTCCACACTGTCTTGGTGCTAACATGGAGGGGACAGAGGATATGAAAGAGTCTCTCCATCTCCTCAGCTCTGGTGCCCGCTGCACTGAAGGGGATCACAGTAGTGCAAATCCAGCTCAGCCCCTAAAACCTGTGACTGATTTTGTCCATCATGAGAAGGTCTGTGAGAACCAGGCTGACAAATTTCACACATGCTCACAGGGCAGGCACAGAGCTTGTCTGAATTTGGGCAGTTCTTGCATTAAAGGCAAAACATTCCAGGAAAATTAGAGGGAGTGTATTCCTTCAATTTTCAGGACCCTGTCCAAGGTTTTGCACAGATTTTCCTTCAGTAGGTAACAGGAAGAAATAAGGAAGCCATAGTCAATACACAATAGTGTGTAAGATGATCAATAACAATAGATTTTTGTCCACCACCTTTTCAGAAGAGTATAAATAATATTTTCTGAATTTTGTCCTAGCCTGAAGCAGGAACTTGCCACCAACACTTTGAGCTTCAATTGCTTAAATTCTGACAAAGTTGTAAACAGCTAAAATCAAAGAGTCATCACAACAGATCTGCTAGAGGAACTGCTGTATGCCTACCATTCAAGTGCCCTGAGTGCTTTTACGTCTCTAATGTCCACACACAACCCCTGCACTGCCACACTACTGCATCTAAACACTGAAGAATGTTGCCTGAATTCCTCTGTCTTAGCACTTCGTTGCAAATTTATACCCAAGGCAAAGTTGAAGTGATCTGCTAAACTGATTCATCTACTCTGCATGTCTACAGAGTGAATTGCAGCAGTTTTTTGAGAATTCAGAGTGGTCAAGAGCTTTGGTATCTGGATCTGCAAGAAATTCAACAGATGTGTGAAATTCTGCAGGTGTCCCAATGATTCCAGCAGGAGTTCTGTGCACAGGTTTAAATGTGTGCTAGCGTTGCCAGACTTCTGAATTTCAGACAATTGCTTCCTTTTGAATTTCAGACAATTGACTTCACATTCTAAATCCTTCCCTTCCATCCATTTGCACAAGAATACTCTTTATGTACAGAGTTCTGCTGAGTACTTTTTGAAATGCCAAATGTTGTGCATGTTTTAGGTAACAGGACTTCTCCACAGCAACTTTAATACTACTTTTCATTTACTTTGCCTTGCATCTCATTTAAAACCACAGGCTAGTTTTGGCAAGCATTAAGAGCTCTTAAATGGTTTGTAATCTGTTTTTAATATGATCCTAGTTCAAGTTCAAGCTGAATAAACATAGGGCTAAAATGAAACCTGATGTCTTTCTGCTTTATGCAGGGAACTGCTACAAACCACAGGGTAAGGGCTGATTTATTTGCACAGCAACAAGTCCTAAAATAAAAATTAAAAAAAAAAAGGGTACTAGTTGTTTTCTCTTAATTATTACTCTTGGGTGACCTTTTGGAGTTACAGGAGGCAGACAACAGCTAGTTTGGCCAATTGTTTTACCTTGCTCTGACGGAGAACTGTCCAGACAGTTACTTGCTGAAACAAGAGAGAATGTTCTCTCTTGATGTTTAAAGTTCACCCTCATTTAACTGTTTGAGCATGCTTGCTTGGCCAGCAAATGATTGCTGGACAAACTGAGGGACATGGTTTCTGATTTATCACCTGGAAATGATCAGTATTGGGCTGGGGCATATAACACAAGCCATCCTGCATGAGGTCAGGGTAAATCTGGAGATGGGGAGGATGCAGGTTGTTTTATCAGTACACAGATTTTCAACCACGTAATAGAAGTTAGGCCACAACACAAGTTGTTAACAACTCTATTTTCACTATGTCCAGGCTTGGCGAGTTTTCTAAAGCTGCATTTCCTCAAGTTATCTGATACCATTAAATTTGCTTTCCCCCTGCACTCCATTCTTTATAACTTGTAACTCTTATGTCTGAAAGAGAGATGGAATAGTCTGAATATGCTGATTTGAAGCATATTAACTCACTCAATAGTCATCAGAAAAGTAAACGGAAATATCTTGAAAAAATTTTTATTCTATGAAAGTACCAAAATTTTAAAGCCCCCACTCCTTCAGCAGTTGATATTGGCATTGCTGTCACCTTTTCTGGAATGGACCTAAAAACCCAGGAGCCTGGTCACAATCATCCAGAATTGCAGTTTGTTTCTCCAGGGATTTTCTATGTCTATGACACAGAGAAGTACTCTTTCCTCCTAAAATCTTTTTTCCTTTTTTGAAGCAACATATTGTTCTCACATGCTGATGTTTTATAGCAATAATAGAGATCAGGTGGGGCTGTGGATGACATTTTCCGCAGCCCACATTCACAGACAAAGCAAAGCCTGGTTTGCAGTCCAAGCCTGCAGCCTGTGTTTCTGCCATGGTGGATGGTCTCATGTTAAAGCCCAGCCTAGATGCTGAGTTTCATACTGGCAGAACCATGAGGACTAGGCCTGGATTTTAAGAGAACTTGTTTGGCAAGAATTTGTTTAATTGGTTCAATTATTCCCCATGTCATTTTTTGGGCTTTGTTTGTGCTTAATTCCTTTAATCTGCATTGCTGTTGTGAGGACCACCGTATCAAAATGGGAAAATAAACAAGCAAAACATCTGAGCAGCACAAAGCAGGCATGTTCTGTGCTTGCGGTGTTGACTCATAACTGTAATTCTTTACTCCTTCCAAGTTTTGATCTCCTCTCAACTCTGGCCAAGTGATTCATAACCACCTGCACTATGCAAAGGAGGCCTGAGCAGCACCACACAGAGTCACTTCCCTGGGATTTTCCTCCCTGCCTTCACTCTTGTCAGCCTGCACCAAAACAAAGCAGAATAAACATGCCTGTACTTGCAATTAATTCAGCAAAATATTTCCACTTTAATCAAAGATGTTGTCTGAGAACACAGGAGACGAGGGAAAAGCAATGTTTGCCCTTGCATCTGAGAGGGGAAAAAAATAGGGGAAAAAATGGAAGCCTCTTTACCTGGATGAATTCTAAATCTTTTTTCCAGTAGATTTCTTGTATGTAGAGTAAGATGGGCTGTCTAATGAAGGGAATGATAGGGGTAAACAGGAATCAAGAAAGCCAGGTAGCCTACTGCATTGAGAAACCTGTCACAGAGGGGAATTGGAGGCAGAACCACCACAAAGCAGAGCCTGAAGAAAATATATCACCATCCTCTGACAGCACCATCCTCTGACATACTCACCAAAATGGGAAAAGTACCAGGGTATGTGTGCTAGTGCTGGGACCCTTGGCAGTATGTCATCTTCCTTCAGAAACAGCATTGCAATGTCATTTTGTTATATCTCACATTATATGTGACACTGTCCAAAGGGACAGAGCAGGCTGTTGTGTGAATCCAGAACATAAAGACTTGCAAGTAATTTCTAGAATCCACAGAGAGACCACGTGGGTGTTTAAGTCCTAATTCCAGAGAGAGAAAGCTGCATGCACAAAGGCCTTTTGTGTTGGGGTTCCTTTTACTATTAGTTACATTGACAGCACAATTACTTTTCAACTAGGTTTTACAAGTATTTCTTTCTATAGCCTCTATTTAAAGAAATAGGAAGGCAGGTAGGCAGGATTGCATGACTGCCTCCAAAATCATCCTGGCCACAGGGTATGAGGTTTATTCAAGCTCCTTCTATTCTTGAATGCAGAAATAGTAGCTAGAGACATCTGTCTCTCAAGCCTTTGACTATCAGGGACAAATTTTCTTCAGTTAGTGAAGATCTGATGCGTGTAGTTAGCCTCGCTTTTAAAGGATCTGACCTGGCTGCTGCCACTCCATAGGACATCGGTTGGACGTTCTGAGGGGTCAAAAAGAGCAAACTGAGCATAGATCAGTAAATGTTAGGAGTGGGGTAAAGAGCAGTGAAAGTTGAAATTATGCTCCCTAAATCTGAGGTTCAATTGCACCTTGAACTGTGCAGATGCAGCTCCTTCATCTCAGAAGATTTAGAGGTACTGCAAAAACACTGGTGGAGGATAACAAGGCGTGTCCAAGATTTGGACCCTGGACTTTTCATCCTGGAAAAGTGCAGACTGAGAGTGCTGAGAGGACAAAGAAGCAAAGCGTCTGTCACTCCATCCAAGAGCAACGGGACACCAGATCCAAGCTAGTAAACCGAGTTGCAGAGAAAACGAAGGGCAGTGGGTTGGAATGTAGGGAGTTGTGGTGACGGATCTGTACAAGATCTTTTTGAAGATTACCGTGCATGAGCTGGAGGGGGAACTGGATGACAACTGGAGAGAGAGAAGAAACAGCACTGGGCTGAGGAAAGAAATCCTCTGTACTGGAAATACGACCTGGGAGACTCATGGTGCTGGGCCAGCGGCACACCAGCTGAGGCCACGGCTGGCAGCAGCACGGGGACACCTCCCCGCCGGTGCCAGCTGTCCCGGGTGGCCCCAGCGCAGGGGACACCTGCCCGCGGGTGCCCGCTGCCTCGGGTGGCCCCAGCACAGGGGACACCTCCCCGCCGGTGCCAGCTGTCCCGGGTGGCCCCAGCGCAGGGGACACCTCCCCGCCGGTGCCCGCTGCCTCGGGTGGCCCCAGCACAGGGGACACCTCCCCGCCGGTGCCAGCTGCCTCGGGTGGCCCCAGCACAGGGGACACCTCCCCGCCGGTGCCAGCTGTCCCGGGCAGCCCCAGCGCAGGGGACACCTCCCCGCCGGTGCCCGCGGCCCGGGGTGGCCCCAGCACAGGGGACACCTCCCCGCCGGTGCCCGCGGCCCGGGGTGGCCCCAGCACAGGGGACACCTCCCCGCCGGTGCCCGCGGCCCAGGGTGGCCCCAGCACAGGGGACACCTCCCCGCCGGTGCCCGCGGCCCGGGGTGGTCCCACAGGCCGCTGAGGGCCGGGCAGGCCGCACCGCGCTCCGCCTCCCGCGGCACGGGCGCTGCGGCGGGAGGGACGGGGCGGGACGGGGCGGGAGCGGCGCTTCCCGGAGCTTCCCGGCGCTCCGCCCGCCGCCGGCACAGTCCGTGCGGAGCCGAGCCGTGCTGTCCTGTGCCGTGTCGGGGATGATGAGTGTGTGAGAGCCGTAAAGCAGCGTCTGGGGCCGGGAGCACCTGCTACTTCCAGGTATAGTCTGCGGTGCGTCCTGTCGGTCCATCCATCCATCCTTCCGTCCATCTATCTGTCTGTACATCTATCTATCTATCCATCTCTGTCGTCTTTGCCACCTCCGGCAGGACGGTCTCATTCCTCCTGGTGTTTAATCTCCTTCCTGGCTACCCAGTTCTGTACGGACAGAGCTACTTTTTGGGGGGTATCAGCATAGTGGGGAAGACTTCAACCCAGCAGTGGCGGTGCAGTGATTGGGTCCTTCTCCTTATCCCCTTCTCTATAGTAAGATAAAACAGCGTCCTAAAACTGCATGATGTGATTTTTTTTTTTCCGTGGCTATAATCCTTGGAGAAGCTTTCCCCGCTTTTCTTTACACCCGGTAGTTCAACTGATTGATGGTTTTTGGTGTTTTTGTTTGTTTGTTTGTTTGTTTTTTTGGGGTTTTTTGAGTGGGAAGGATAAAAAAGCACTGATCTACCAGATTGTGTTTGTAGGGCTGAGTAAAATGGGGGTGTGGGCGGGATGTGTCTGTGTGTGTATGTGTGTGTTTCACTGGGCATCTGCCGAGTGTGAGTGTGCTAAAACTTCAGGCTCCTACGCCGTGTGGGGTGGCAGCAGTTCAGGGGTACGAGGAGAGTGAGGACTGTTAAATGACCCCAAATCAATGTTAAATGACCCCAAATCAGTGTTACATGACCCAAGATCAGTGTGTCAGTCCGGACTGTAAGCTAAGGCAGCCCCAACAAGCAGTGCCTCCCAGTCTGCCCGTGTGTAAAGCTAAATACAGCGCAGGGGGATGAGGAGCTCTTCCAGAGGAGTTCTCCGGAACAGAGCGGAGGAGGGCTGGCTCCTCTCAAAGGGCAAGAATGGCCTGAAAAATCAAAAGAGCCGGGAACAAAGAGGTGCTCTGTACCTCGGGCGGCTATTTCTAAGGCAGGAATGTTGAGGGGGCTGCTTTCAGTGAGATTAGCGCCTTGGTGGGCTGAGATGTCATCTGTGCCATCTGTGACAAACTGGGACTTGGGCAGGCAGGACTGGGTCTCCAGGCTGTCTGTTTTGAAAGCTGAGAAGAGCTTTTTGAAGTACGGCTTCCTCAGGCTTATCTTAGGGCTTCCAAATGAGATGCCTTGGAAAGAGGCTGTTAATCAGCTGAAAATCAATGCTAAATATACTCAAAACATGTAGCTAACTGATGAGCTGTACCGAGAGAACTGAGACCAAGCTCTGGTTTTGGATAAGCAGTGCGGATATCACTCCTTTGAATAGCAGGACTGAAACGGGCCGCTGTAGGATTTGTTAAATCTTTATAAAAGAGGAAAGAAATGACTGATTTAGCAGGAGTTAAGCTCACAGCTGTGCCCCTCACTGAGTGAAAGGCTTTTTTTGTGTGGTGTGCTGAATCCCTGTTGGTTTGCATTCTTTGTGGTTTCTTTCTGCCGAGGTTTTGGGGGACAGCTCTGTGTGTTGGTGGCTGTGAGTGGGTTGTGTGGGTTATCCAAACATTCCTCGGGGAGTGCGGGGTCACCGTGCCTGCTCCCGGCCTGTGCAGTGAGCTGCTGGCACACTGTGACAGGAGTGACAGGCACAGCGCAGCCCTGGAGCGTGATCAGTGAAGGAATATGAAAAGCTGATAATGTGGGGCTTTACTTTTCTAACTGGGTGGTTAAAAAGTGAGGTTTTCTTGGGGTGAAGAAAGGATGGACTGTGTGTGGATGATATTGCCAGTCTGTGCTGTACATCACTGTAAGGGTTTGCTGACATATCCCAAGGGCTGTTTGGGATAGATTGCCTGCATTTCAGGGGAGGAGCACAATCTGTGATTGCACATACTTAAGGATTTTTTCCAAATGTTAGTAAACACACAGGTGTACTCTGCAAGCACCGACAAGCGCCCTTTGCTTGGCACGGGTATGAAGGACTGAGCCGCATCATCTAATAAACACTTTGATAGAAAATGAGCTTGTAAACAAAGCTTCCAGAGAGCATTTTGCAGCCACAGCAAGACAATACATTAATTTACAAACAGGAGGCAAAGACTCCAGCTGAAAGCTGTTGCTAATATCTCCTCTGTTCTAGCTGCTGTAAGAAGTGGTATTAAAAAACTAAATTGCTACTGTGAGGAACCTGAAGGGGTGGCATTTAGTATGGCTGTATTTTTAAATAGAAAATGTGCAGGATCATGACAACAATCCAGCTCACTCTCCCTAGGCGGCTCCAGAATAGCACTGAATGACTCAGATCCATGCATTCTGGCTATTTTGGGTTTCCTTCATCAAAATGCATCTTCTCCCCGGAATAAAATGTTGCCCAGGTCACCTGCCCCTCCCATGGGGTCAGGTACTCTGCCTGCTTCTGGTCACACCTGGAAATAGGGCCAGAAATGCCAGGTAACACACCTGCAGAGAGGAGCCTGGGAGCTGTGAGACCTTCGGATTCATGAGGAGTAAGAGGATAAATAAGCTTGAGTCAGAGTGGGGAGTGGGGTATTCTGTGAGGTAATTGCTCTCATTGATACAAGGCCAGGTGCTTTCTGCATGAATGTAGCGTGCTGAACTGACTGTACTTGTCCATCAGGACTAGAGCTGATCCTCCCTTAAACATCCTGCAGGGGTTCAGACGCTGTTAGGCCACGTTTGTAATGATCTTTTCACAGCCCAGCGTGGTGTCCATTTGCTCAATATCATACCTACTGGGTGGTGACTTAATAGCTGTAATTGTTGCGGGGCAGGGAGCGTTTGGTCATCGATTGTACAGCCCAGGGGTCCACCCTGAGTCGGGCACGGGAACTGCTGCTGGTCCCGAAGGCTGGCACAAACCGGGCTGCTGTGGCCCTGCCCTGACTGGGGAAAAAGATCTTTGCAGTCATTTTGGCTATAAGACGCTTCTCTTTGGTTTCCCAAGGAGTCAAGCAAGCTGATTGCAGACGGCTGTTTACAAGTCCTCTGTACCTCAGACCCTGCTCTGTTCTAGAAGCCTCTGGCTGATACCCAGCCCAGATATAAGTGGGTGAGAGGCAAGTGGAGCTGGTGCGGATACGGAGCTGTACTTCCTCTCTTAGCTGACAAAGTGCAGCCATCCATTTTTATCTTCAATCTAGATACTGGAAAGTGTATTTTTGTTGTTGCTGTTGTGATGGTGGGGTAATCAGTTAATACTTTAACTGAAGTATTTCTGTTGCAGAAACTGTGAATATACTGCTTTCAACCTGCTGTATATTGAAGTGTCAGTGAAAATTCTGTACTGTTCATGGAGACGTAAGGGCTCAGTGACTGGGGAAAAAAGATCATATTAATTGTTTGCCCTAAAACCAGCAATGTTTCTGCATAACCTAAATGGCACAGACATCTGGCAATGAGGTTTTAGGTAGAAACAGTTAAATGAAATTTAGTACTGTTATTTAACACTGCAGCAGCTTGCTGTTGTAAATTATAACTTGGCTGCCTATTATGATTACAAAAGAGAAAGGTGTTTTCTTTTGAAGTGTACTGTAGGTAGCACCAAAAGGCTAAGCATGAGTGTCTGCAAAGACTTTTTGGGATTCAGAAGTTATGTTGCTTTGATGAGGTTGAAGAAGGAACCATGTCAAGAGAGCTTCATGCTTAAGGCTAGTACCATGCTCCTGGCAATAATATAAGATACACCTTCTGTACACCTTTTGAAAAAAAATCTTAGTGCTTAATGAAAGGAAATAACCCCATAGTTATCCCTCTTTGTACTGTCAAGCAGAGGAATGCAGTAATGAGAAACTGACTAAAGCCACGTGAGGAGCTTGTAGCAGAGTCAGAAGCAGATCCAAACAAGCAAGTGCCAGGTCTAAGCCCTGAAATAGTGCCATAATAATTCTGTTTTCTGTGGATAGATATGTGAACAGCTCTTGATGAAGCTGGTTATCTCTCTGAAATGGTCCAGAATGTGCTTAGCTACTGCCCATGCAGATAGAGAAGGTGGATCTTCTGGCTTGGATCACCTGGGGTGGGTGAGGATTACATCCCTCTCACATCCCAGGGTTCACATCCCTGCCACATGGAATGGATCACACTCCCCAAGGTCAGTGAAAGTCTAATACTACAGTGATTCTCTTCTGGTGTTAGTGTAGGGAAATCTGCTCCCATTTTTTGTTGAAAACGTCAAATTTCAGTTTTGTCAGCTTGGAGTATGCAGGAGGCACAAAGCCTGCTACAGAAATGATGCAGAGTGCAGAACTCTGTAGATACAGAGCTACAGGACTCATTTCAGAGTTCTGATTCACTGGGGGGGAGTAGCATAGCATGGTGGCATCACAGGCCCCATCTGTCCACCCCACCCCACACCCCATTCCTGGACATCTCAGGCACCGTGAATCAGCTGCTGAATCACTGGTTTTACAGTGTGATGTTTTGGAATAAAGCATCACTGCTGTTCCCTTGCCTTCACACTCCTGACCTCAGAGCTGCAGCAGCCCATCAGCTGAGTGAGGAGCAGCATCCCAGCTGCCCCTCAGTGGTGTGGGAGCCAGGCTGGTGAGCTCCTCCAGGCTCTGGAGCTCTTCTGCAGCCTGCTGGTGGATGGCAGCCCTGACAAACCAGTCTGCAGCTGGCTGATAGAGAGGTGAGATTTTAGTGTTTTAAGGCTGTATTTTTTAATGTTTTAAGCTGTAATATTTAAGGGCAAATGGCAAAACTGTTCTGTGCTTCACTGGGTCCAATAAGGGGAATGCTTTGCTTCTAAAATGCCCACCCTGCTTCAGTAAGGGAAAGAACTGGAAGGCTCTAGTAGCATTTTTGCTTTCAGTCCAGCTGTCAGCTCAGAAATTTTGGTAGAAAAGAGTAGCTATATGTGTTGTCTGTATTTTAACATGGGAGGTGTTTCATTGAATCCTTTGGCTGGCCTGAGACTCTTGTGCATCTTTTTCCTTTTCATTGATTCTGTAAATCCCTTAAGTTTAAAAGAGTCACTGTGGAACATGCAATGGACTGAACTTTTCTAGAATCTCATGTGCCTTCTGACATTTAATAACTGCTGTGCTAATTCATCAT